GTTCTCCAATGTAATTTTGATCATAAGAAGTTATTGTTTATTTCGTCTACTTTTATTATTTATATGTAACATTTATAGACATCTGAAAGATTTTATGTCGAAAGTTATATTCATAGATATGTAATGGCTGATACTATGTCAAGCCTATATAGGGTATTCTAGCTTCTGGACAGACCAATTTATTCATTCTTCTCAAGCTACATTTTAATCTTGTCAGTTATTCGCCTAATAACCCTGACTGCATTTATATGATCGGCTGGATTATGAAGACGTTAACATCTAGGGAGGAGGAAGCATAGAATACAATCGACAGCTAGGATGCAGTTGGACGATCTACATTTCTCAGATGATCTGGCTCTTCTACAGCACATGCAACAACAAATACAGGAGAAGACGACCAGTGTAGAAGCAGTCTCAACAGTAGTAGGTCTCAACATACACAAAAGGAAAAGCAAGATTCTCCGATACAACACAACACAGCATGCACCAATCCAATCACAATTGACGGAGAAACTTTGCAGGATGTAAAAACCTTTACATATATGGGAAACATCATTCATGAACATGGCGGATATGATGCAGATGTGGAGGTGCGGATCGGCAAAGTAAGAACAGCATATATGCAACTGAAGAACATCTGCAACTCAAAACAACACAACTCAACCAACACCATGGTCAGAATTCTCTATACAAATGTCAACACAGTTCTACTGTATGGAGTGGAAACCTGGAGAACTACGAAAACCACCATCATCCAGAAGATACAAGTGTTTGTTAACAGTTGTCTGAGCAAAATACTTCGGATCCGTTGACCAGACACTATCAGCAACAACCTACTGTGGGAGAGAACAAACCAGATCCCAGCGGAGAACGAAATTAGGAAGAAGAGCTGGAAGTGGATAGTGCGCACAGTGAGGAAAACAGTCAATTGAGTCACAAGCCCTAACATGGAATCCTCAAGGCCAAAGGAGGAGGAGAGTAAGTCCAAAGAACACATTGTGCCGAGTGATGGAGACAGCCATAAGAATGAACAGCAGTCGGGTAGAAGTAGAAAGGAAAGTCTATGACAGAATGGATTGGAGAATGCCGTTCGATGGCCTATGCTTCATTGGGAGTAACAGACAATTTATTTATTATTATTAATAAGTAAGTAAACTTTTATATGATCGTAGTGTGTTGATTGCCTACCCTGTTCATCATTTTCGGTGTAGCTATAAATATTGAGTAACGCTTGATTAAACTGAGTTGGCTCACGCTCCTTCTCCACTGCGCGTCACTTCGTTTCGCCTCTCTATTTCCTGTCCACCTTTTTCGCTTCGTTTCTCTGATCATCTGTCTGGATCTACGATTGTATAAAATATACGTATTCGAAATCCATTCTCATATTTGACTTATTTAATTCCATCATTCATTAACGCGATTTAAGTCGATGATTATGTGCGAGGGTAGCTGGAATGTATATTTCGACACCAATCATACTACCTAACTGGGGTCAGATGAATGGCCACACTAAAGATACACTCATACCTCACAACCATAAGTTAGTCAGTTTATCCAATTTAGTCATCAAAAGTCTAACGTTCATAATTATTTGACATCTTCATCGGAAAATAAATTCACGAATCCAGACTTCTGTTACTTAGCAGGTGCGTGGACATGGAGTACCTAACGGACTCATGTACCAAGTTTTCCTTGACTTGGAGGGAGACCCTGTCGATCCACAAAACTTATGGTGGGATCCGTTTATTAAGTATATAGGGATATGTGCTTATAAAGTTACTTATGTTACCGAACGCACACTATTTGCACCAAAACAGAACTGTGAATGCCTATGAATTTGTAGCTGTACTAACAGTGAGATAGTACGGTATTTAATACGAACTTGACCTAAACTTTATCTAGGGAATTCTGGATAATTAGATAGCCAACTTTCAAACGTCTTCATGAAACCAGCGGTCCTAAAAGTTCTTTATCTACGAGTCCTCTCAAATTGTAGTGAGTAAATAGATATTTCCACGGAAACTCAATTTTCTGCCTACATATACCCGGATAGTTCCATTAGTGATAACAGAAAAAAGGTTATCTTCGTGAGTCAACCGGGTTAGTGTATATATAGGAGCAAATTAAGCAGACCAAAAAACCCCGGCTCTAAACCAATAATACACATGAGCTTCATAACAACAAGGAAAGAATAACAAAAGAAATGGTTTTAAAATTTTGTGACCACAGTAATACATCTCCTATTACCGTTTCAGAGGATTATAAACTACACAATTAGATTAAAAGCTCCAAGGTTGTTCCCTAAAAACCATTTATTTTGTCTTGATAACCAAGGGAATATCACGACTGTAGTATTAACAAAAAAACATACGCGAACCTGAGATATAAACAATTCACTCTATAAATTCTTAATGTATGACTATAAAAAACTTTATTTCATGTAAGAATATATCTGTCCTATTTGTTCAACTTTGTTGATTCTTTTTCCCACTTTCTCACATTGCATCATTAATTGAAATAATCTTGGTGTAGTGACAAATTAAATTGAAATTCAATAGCTCAGAGAAGTCTTACTCACTACGATCTGAAGGGTCTGGATCCAATCCTGCGTGAACTCTTGGATACAAAATTCCAAGCAAGAAGTACCAGTTGTCTACTGCTCTCTGCTTTTCAGCCCTCATCTTACTTACTTACGCTTGTTACTCCTCGTGAAGGAGCATAGGCCGCTCACCAGCATTCTCCATCCAACCCTGTCCTAGGCAATCCTTTCCAGCTCCGTCCAGTTGTAATTCATCGTTTTCATATCTGATTCTATTATCCGACGCAATGTGTTCTTTGGCCTTCCTCTTTTTCGCTTCCCTTCAGGATTCCAAGTTAGGGCTTGCCTCGTGATGCAGTTTGACGATTTGCCCCCATCTAGTTTATATAAATCCATTTAGACTACTTTTAATATTTTCAGTAGTTAAAAATTAACTGACATTTATTTGAATAAGTATGAATTTTTGTTGTGAAAACATTATGAGATCTAGAATAAGTAAAGCAAAATTGATCACTTATTTTGATAGTATGCTACTTCAAAAATAAAATAATTACATAGATAGTCGGGTAAAATATCCTGGAAAAGAAAGAATGACGTCTTCGTAATTATTCAATGACTTTTTAGTACTCAGGAACGTCGATCGACATATAAATCATCAGTTTCTTAAAATGAGTAAAATCTTGATACTGTCAAGTAGATTAACACGATGATAGAAATGAATCTACACTAAAAAAGGTCAACGAAAGGAACGGTTTTTACCACGAGTTCTCATTAAGATAAAGGAATATTAGAAGACAACTATTCTGTGTTATTGAAGAATTATGATTTAATAAAAATACAACCGCAGTTTAAACATTCCCATAGACTATTCAAAAATGAAGAATTTTTAAGAGAACAATTAATTTCAATAACTTTATCATTAGGATCTACAGTTATAACTTCCTAATTATTGTGATATTTTACAAATGCCAATATAAGGCATGTATTAATACATTTGATAATGTTATATGTTAAAAAAAATGGTGAACGTTTGCATCTGTTACGACATATATACATATACCTATTGTGGGACTCCTCAGCAGTGCGCATCCACGACCTCGCCCCCTGCGAGATTCGAACCCAGGACGAGGTCGTGGATGCGCACTGCTGAGGAGTCCCACAATAGGAGGAAACGGCCATCCAGTGCCTTCAGGTTTTCCATAGTGGTCTAGCTTCAACTGACCCATGATCTTAACCATTGAAATTACTATAATATCCACAAAACCCATCTGATATATATATATATATATATATATATATATATACTTCAAAATTTTGTTATTTAAAAATTAAAAAGGTCATTTAATAAATGTCAGAATGATTTGAAGTAAAGTGTCCAGTCACAATCAGGATAATAGTAATATATCAAAAATGAACAAAAAAAATAGTCGTATGAATAAAATGCAACTCCTCACGTACAATTTCAAACAACAGAAAATCGGAATATTAACTGAGTAATGTATATATGTGAAAAAATTAGACTTGAAATAATCTCAGCGATTGAAATTTAAATAATTCCAAATGTTTCGTCCAGCCAGTTTGTCTGAACTTCTTCAGGGTAATAATCAAAGAGATATATAGCTTGTTAACAATCAAAATATACTGTGTTACACCAATCAAATTTGGATGTTGATTTTTTTGTAAAATAGGATAAAATGAGTCACATGTTGAAATCATGAGTCAATTGAAGTTAGACCACCATGGAAAACCTGGAAGCACTGGAGTTCTAGTGAGATGTCGTTACCAGTTGAGTTCAATCAGGTCTGTTGTGAGATAGTAACTCACTGAAGACAATGGTGTACGGTGGCGCAACTTCGTGGATTGATTGAAGTTAGACATTAACACCGTTGGATATCGGCCGACTCAGTGGTCTAGTTAGTTAAGCGCCTGGCGCGAGACTGATAGGTCCTGGGTTCGAATCTCGAGGGGTTCGAGATCGTGGATGCGCACTGCTGAGGAGTCCCATACCATGACGAGACGGCCGTCCAATGCTTCCAGGTCTTCCATGGTGGTTTAGCTTCAATTAACTCATGATTTCAACAAGTGAAATTTCGAAAAATCTGCACAAAACCCATTCTGATAATAAAATGAGTCAGTCAACTACAAATCATGTGAAAAATTCAGCTACATGGAAATAATTAACTGAATAACAAATTGTATGTGTGTGAGTGTGTAGGTTGTATGTACGTATGTGTGAGATTAATTATTGATGTTTTGTGTTGATGTGTGATGTATGAAGGAATAAATAAGTAAAATAAAAGTGCAAGTTCAAGGTTGATAGAATTGTTAATGAATCATTGATGTACATGTCAAACAAATGCCTAAATTGTATTGTTAAAAAACTCATTGAAATCAGTCCATAATAACGACGCATATATACTTATTGGTTCAATAAAAACATTGTAGCGGTAAATAAATCCCCAAAATAAATAGCTCTGTAAGTTTTCGACATTGGATGCTGACCACATGTTTTAATGGACTGACCTAGCTGAAGGCGCTCGGTCATGCATCCGCACCAGATCACGAGTGGGAACGCCGTGCTCAACAACCCCTACAATCGCTAGCCAGATTAAATCAGACGATCCTCGATAGATTGATAGCTTATCAAATATATCTTCAAACCTCCTCACTTCTGCCTTTTGATTTCACTTGGTGGGTACGCTTCATATTAGAAGGTGTTACTGGTTAAAGCGTTGTCAAACTCCAAATACCTGTGGCATCTTCAGCATCAACAGTCCAATAAAAAATATATCAACCAAGTAACAGGATATATCTAAATGTAAAGTATAAAAAAAAACAATCCGATTTAACCGATCAACACCTTGAATTATTAATTTAATCATATTCTATCAAATCTCACAACAAATAACAGTCAATGCATAATCAATCTTCACTAACTAAGAGTATGAATTAGTTTACAAAAGTATAGTTGTGACTTAGAAATAAAAAAAGATCTCGAAATTCATTTTGTGTGATTGTTTATCATGTTATTTATTTAAACCCATAAACATTGATATAATGGAGCACCAAAGTAATTATTTGCTGCATAGTAAATCATTAATCTTTTGTGTAGGCTGAGACGCTTCCCGGGGTGCCAAAGCCGAATATTTCCTCAGAAGGCCACTCCCCCTAGCTTCTGATCTAAATGTCTAATCCACAATTCAGTGGAGCAACATTAGGAGATGGGGTTTTATGGTAGCCAGTGACAACGATTTGTTCGTACATCATTTGTTCCCTTAGGATTCTGGAGACTACCTGTTATATCCTAGTGAAGATTAGATCATAGGTAACTTCTGAGAACTATTAATGGACTAATATCATATATATATTCTTATTGTATAAATATTCAGTAACTATGTTGTGTATACCTATATTCCTCCTAGTATAAGTTTTGTTTTGACTTATAGACTATTATGATACGACTTGCTATTCTTAAATTATACTCAGTTTATTAATTACAATCTCTCACGTTCACAAGTACTTTTTAGGTTGGACTTTTACAAATGTTATTTTCTATTTTGCGGTTTGATGTGGTCTGTTTGCCTGGTATATAAACCAAGTATGCTTGAAATAAATGATTTGCATAATGGAAGCTGCTATTGGTGTTCCGGACTGCACTAGTAGGGTTCGGAGGAAAAAGGACCAATAAGGGCGCTAGGCTGCTCATACCGGTCGGACGTCATTGGCTTGGCACAGTATTAAGATAGTATAAGTCATAGTCCGATTGGTGGATAAGCCACGTGATGATTAGCCGGACTTAAAGTCATAACACGATGTGCACTATTGGTTCGGAATCAAGGTTTTACAACTTCAAGCACGAGAAAATCCGACTGGCTTCAGACCTGGTCGTGGTTGCATCGACTACATACCATTAGTCAGGTTCTGGAACACAGACATGCATATCGGCGTCCGACAATGATAGCTTTCGACTTAAAAGCAGCACTTGATTCTGTAGACAGAGAGGTTCCGTGACAGTGTCTGTCATTGAAAGGTGTACCTCAGAATTACATGAACATTGTGAAGGCTCTTTACTCGAACACTACTAGTCGAGTCAGAGCTTATGAAGTTACATGATTTCGCAACCTCAAGTGGTGTCCGGGAAGACTATTCACTATCTCCATTCTTGTTCAATTTCACCATAGACCTACTGCTCGAAATAACATTCTCGTCCCCTAACTCTTCAGGAACTGATCTCCTTCCGGGAGGTTCACTTATCGAATTAGAATATGCAAATGATATAGTCCTGATTGGTGAAGACGCTGACAAAATGCAGAGTCTTTTAATAGCACTGAGCAACAATGCCAGAATGTTTGGGATGCGCTTCCCTCCCTCTAAATGCAAGTTGTTGCTTCAGGACTGGTCTGGGTCAACACCTGAACTAAGGATAGGGAGTGAAGTAGTTGAACGCGTTGACAACTTCACTTATCTTGGAAGTCTGATCAGCTCTAATGGGTTGGTGTCTGACGAAATCTCAGCACGGATTCGAAAAGCTCGTTTGGCTTTTGCCAACTTACGTCACCTTTGGCGAAGGCGAGATATCCGTCTATCAATAAAAGGACGAGTATACTGCGCGGCAGTTCGTTCTGTTTTAATTTACGGCAGCGAAACATGGCCCTTAAGAGTAGAAGACACCCGTAAGTTACTAGTATTTGACCACAGATGCCTTAGAAATATTGCTGGCATCTGCTGGGATCACCAGATAAGTAATAGTGAGGTTGTGAATCTTCATCGACTGAGATGGTTGGGCCACGTATTACGTATGCCTGAATACCGATTACCACGACGTGCAATGCTATCCGGTATTGGAGATGGTTGGAAGTTAGGGGCGGCCAAACCAAAACGTGGCATCAGTGCTTGAAGTCACTAACTTCTAGTCTGAGCCATGTTGGTAGATGCAGACTACTTGGTTGGAGTCCACATGACTATCGTAACCTATGGTTGGAGACTCTGTGTGACATGGCTTAGAATCGATCACAATGGCGTGGGTGTATACACTGTTTGTCTGCCCTTCAACCGTGAGATTAAAATTACTTTATGTCTTTTTTTCTGTCAACTAACTCTTTCTCCCTGTTTTATATCCTGCTGAGCAGTCTTAGCTTAGCCGAATTCAGAACAAGTAAGATTTTTAGCTTGATAAACTTTTTCTGCTTCTAAAATGTAAATTAAAACTGTTTGTATACAAAATGAATAATTAATACAGTCTAATAAACAGGGGCGTTGGCAGTTCATCAATTCAAGCTTGAACACTGAATACAAAAGCATTACGTGCAACCTCTCATCCTTCCGTGGCACTAACATTCTATTCTAGTATGTTTTGGTCTCATTTTGTTTTTATTGTTACTTTGTCCTTTCTTCAAACTGTGATCAGTTATCATTATTATCTAACAACTTTTTCCAAGATGATTATCCAAATGTTATTATAACCTTTATGTCTTTTGTTTCATCTTCAGTTCTGTCAAGTTGATAATGAATTTTATTTGAAATGTTATTATTCATACTACCTTACTGTGTAATAATGACAAATCAATACATTTTAAACTTTTATTTCTAACATTTTCAAAGTACTATTCGTACTGCTGGTAAATACAATCTAAATTCATATTGATTACGATGGAGCAATTTCGTGAATTAGCTGAAGTTAAACAGTAACACCGTTGGATGTCGGCCGGCTCAGTGGTCCAGTGGTTAAGCACATGCTCATGAGACTAATAGGTCCTGGATTCAAATCCCGCGGGGTGCGGGATCGTGGATACGCACTGCTGAGGATCCCATACTAGGACGAAACGGCCATCCAGTGCTTCCAGGTTTTACATGGTGGTCTAGCTTCAATTGACTCATGATTTCAATCTGTGGAATTTCTAAAATCTCCACAAACCCCTTCTGATAAAACCAATACATTATTATGACCTTGTATAGAAATTAATTATACTGCTTTAATATTTTCAACACCGCCCCCAAATGCCCTGGTACGGCCGAGAGTGGGGAGAGTCCGCTCTCCCTCTCGAAATGCTCTCACACGGCCACGTGTATATAGCCTCTGCCAGGGAAGTCCTACTCACTGCCTTCTCGTGGCGGGGGTGTTGTTTACGAAAATGAGAGGACGAAAAGCGAATGTCCGGCGCTTTACCCGGATTCAAAACCAATGGTGCGCATGGGCTCCAGTATCCTGCGAGAACAAATGGCGTCGGCGACCAACGATTGGTTCATACGCCATTTATTCCTTTACGGTACTGGAGCCCATGTGCACCACTGGTTTGGAATCAGGGTTTTCCAACTCCCCTAGGTGGACCCTCCATGTCCACCAACCCGGTTAAAGCGCCAAACATTCGCTTTTCGTCCTCTCAATTTCGTAAAAAAACACCCCCGCCACGAGAAGACAGTGAGTAGGACTTCCCTGGCAGAGGCTATATACACGTGGCCATGTGAGAGCATTTGGAGAGGGAGAGCGGACTCTCCCCACTCTCGGCCGTACCAGGCCATTTGGGGACTCATTCGAAATTAGTTTTCTGATGTTTGCACAGATAACTTGTATCCAATAATTGTTAATGAGGAAACTAACACGAGTATAGTTCAATGAGAAAAGCATATAAGTATGTGGTGTGTGTGAATGTGAAAGGCTTTGTGATAATGGATAAATTATATAATTTACAGCCTGAACTGACTTTCGTCATATAACCAATGGAAATCAGGAACGATTGGAAAGCTATATATAGTTCTAGTACGGAACTACTTAACGGTGGTCCTCAATGACCTTATTGCAGAAGCGGTGGTGCAGAGACTGGAAGCAGCGATTTTACCGGCGACCAACCTAAAAGATGTGGATTCGTTATATGGATGACACATTCGTCATCATCAAATGGGACGAGCTACAAAACAACTACACTCTGATCAATAACGTCTTTGATGACAAAATTCACAACAAACTATCATTCGTGTATGCATTGATCACCAAAGCCGAAACAGGAGAACTGGAGAAGCCAACACATCAGCAGTAATGGAATCAAATACAGAAATCAACAAACGGATCATCCTACTACATATAAATGATATATCAGAAATTACGAGATGATCGAGGTTGTGTGGAATAGGTATAGCACATAAACCAAAAATATCACTTCAATCAACCCTATGCAAGCCAAGGGATGAAATGACCAAGAAAAACCAAACATCATCTACAAAATAAACTGTTCCGATTGCAAAAAGCATTGTCGAACAAAGTGGGCACCCCCCTTATCTTCGCTTTCATAAACATCAATTAGTGGTCAAACGCCATGAAATATCTTCACTTATACCAATTCATGTGAACAACTGTGGATACATATTCAACGGGGGAAATGTTGGGATCCTGAATAGTGGGAATGCTAAGAACAAAAGGGAACCTTTAGAAGCTCGGCACTCATCAACCAACTAACACATCGAAATCGATCCAATCTACCAGTCAATCAGAAAAACCATGGGCAAATATACACCCAAGAATCAGATCAAAGGGGATACAATCAAAATAAACAGGTAGACAATGACAAGGTAAAGATTAACAACAATCAATCAAGATCGAGGTCGACAGGACAAACTGAGAGTTATATGTGGAGAAATTCGAATATTTCTCTTCTAACCCAAATTTGTGCTGATGATATTGTTCTGAAGAACTCAGTCAGTTAGTCAGTCAGTAACAACGGTTAAGTAAGAAAACAAAACTGAATAAAACCATCCACCTGAGGTATAAGTTTTCTCTACTATGTTAAAAAGGCGATATAGAGTTATTACTTACAAATT